TTCAAGGAAACGATAGAAACGACTTTGGTGTTCTCAAAAATGCTCTGCAACACTTTCCATTTCTCATACGCAAAAGAAGAAAAAAAACCATGGAAGGCAATGAAGAGTCGGCGCCTAAACGCCGTTGTCTTCTTGATCTTCTTGTTCCGCATATTTTGATATGCCTTGCACGTTTTTTTTTAGTAGTTCCACTGACCAGTCGGAAAAAAAATTGTGTATTACTTTCGGTTATTCTCCTCTTCATGGTGTTTATATTTTGTTGAAATTGTTATCTTTATACTGCTGAGTTGCTTGTTGATATTGCTCCAGTTTCTGTATTATGTTCATATTTTTTTAAGAAGTAATGACTAATTAAAGTAGTCTGTTATCAATATTTAGTAAAGAAATAACACTACAAGTCAAGGTCGTAAAAAGTAACCTGGTAATTACACAATTACTTGAAAAAGTAACGGACTACAAGCAATCCGTTACTTCTAACGGATTGCTCCCAATGTCTGTGTGTGAGATATATCCTTAATTTAGATCAATGGGTTTCAAAACCCCGGCACTCGGAGACGTTTCGCCCGGTCTCTGGATGCATGGCCGCGGACGTTTTAATGACACCCGGCCCCGCGGCCCGCTGCTACCTACAAAAAAAAAAAAGAAAAAAGAAAAAAGAAAGATGCGATTGCAAAAACGTCGTCGCCGCGACATGCACCAAAAGCGCGAACGAAGATTTCAGAAAGAATGAGAGGAAACTGTAGTGTTGTGGCGAATCTTTAGATTTTCGAACTGTAGTTTCAAATATTATGCTACTCGAAATTCGCTTCGAGATGAACTCTGATATTCGTATTCTTCGAAATGTTCGCCGCGACGGGATAGCCCCGTTGAGTGCGCTTCTTACCGAGCAAGAGTGCATTGAGGAGAAGTAGCACCCGAGAAGCTAACTTCCACGGGCGTTGTTTCTCCGCAGTGCACCGGTGCTCGATAAGAAGCACGCTCAATGGGGCGAACCCGCATCGATCACCGGGTCAGTTGTTAGTCAGTGGTGCGTTTGTCCAGCACTTTTCTATGTGTTCTCTTTTTTTTTCGTGTTCAGCTGATCCGTATGCCAACGATCAACACTTCAAGAAATACAAATATTGCAGTCATGTTCTTAAAGAGCCTACTTTGAAAGCCGAATGATGCACGCGCCCACGTGGTCTGTTTAAGAAAAAAAAAAAAAACTCGTTGGATGTTAATATCTACACTAAAATAAAGATTTCAAAATTAAAATGTGTCTAATATGCAAGACTATATATATACTAGGCAGATATGTCCTGACAACCTACGTTCCTCATTAATAACTGTATTTTTGTTTTCTTAAATTATAGATTTAAAGTGTAGATGGGTTTTCATTTAGGCATGCTCCAGTAGTGAAAAGCTTGGAGAAGCTATTCTATTCAAAGATATTTGGCTAAAACCACTTTACGCTTCGAATTCGCTTCGAACTCAAAATCCACCATTCGCACACACCTAAAAAACTACGTCAAAACGCCGGTTATCTAGCTGTATTATTTATTGTATATTGTCATCATCAGAATTACTATTCGTATTTCCCTGCTTCGTGTCTGTGTAACTGTGAAACATTTACTTCGCGTTCTCGTGTACGTCGTGTATAGGGATCTGATCTGACCTACCATTTTAATTAGTGTTCTCCCCTGTGTAAATATTTCAAAGTTCCTCTGCATTTTGATTTGTGTCTGGTGAGTTTTCGAGTAAAATATTGCACTTAAATATAAAGTGCATGAATTTGTCAACCTTACCGTTCTTTTTTTTTTTATCTTTGCTTTAGTATTTTGTTTATTTAAATGCTATATGGGCTTATTTATTTAGCATTTCCCTCGTTTATATTGTCTTACGTAATTGACTGTAACATATTGCTAATCCTGCCCCGTAGCCAAAACGTTCGGAGCCCCCTGATTTAGAACTACAGGCAGCTTTTGCTTCCACCTAACCGCAGGCAGCTTTTGCTCGGCCTTCCTTTTTTTGTTCTCAATTTTGCTCTGTATCCGTTACCCTTAATCATACTTTAATGCACTCTCCTAGCGGTTTCTGTCAATCCTCGCGGTCTTTTTGCCGCCGAAGCTTTGGCTCTCTCTGTGGTTTAAGAAAAAATAAAGAAGAAAACGCGCGCGTTTGTGTTTTTTTTATTGTCACGAAGATCATTACGGTGGTCACGTTCTTCTAGTCGCGCTCTCGTATACCAAAGCGCGCGCTGGGGCCCGCGCGAGTGCCGAAACTTCGGTTGCTGCCATCGCTCGTCTCGCTTGGAACACAATCGCTTTCTCGGTTTGCAACGAGCAGCAACTTGGGGCTGCGCGACGGCGTCCACCGCGCGTGGAATAGGTTTCACCCCGTTTGTTGGGTCAGTATACGCGCAAGCCTCGGGTATCGGTTGAGCTTCTTGTAACTCGCCAAGAAGTACCATTTCCTAAGGAACAAGGCTTCGGGAGCTAAGCTTCGTGGGTAATGGCGGACATGTCAGTTTCATGGCATTCTGACTAAACGCCTCCTTAAACGTCCCCCCCCCCCCCCCCCCCCCCCCCCCCCCCCCTCTGTGAAACACAATCTCGTTATTAGTTTTATTATTTACTTTTTCCACCGTTGTAAGAGACAACAAAAACAATCATAAAACGGTGGTTTGCCCCAACTGTAGCACATTTTCTTTCCCCTGTAATTAGAACTTAAAGTAGCTTGACTAAATAAAAAGTTTAATAACACGATAACCTTGAAGTAGTAGTAGTAGTAATAGTAATATTTGTTGTCTCGGGAAAGCCAAGGGCAACGCAGGAAGGCGACAGCCCGTTCCACAGAGGCCCGTGGTGCCGCGTCTAGTAAGGAAGTTCTGGTAAATGGTTCTTCGTCAGAAAGCAAAGCAACTTGTTTGTTGAGAGTTTAGACAGGGAGAATTCTGTCCAGTGATTCTTGCACAGCGCTATAGACGACCGTTTTAGTCTGGGCTTTTTACCGTGTAACGGGAAGCAGTGATTCGACCACCGGACGCCGATGTAATGCTCACACATATTGAATCGGGCACGGATGGAGATCGAACCCAGGAATGCTTTCCGAGTTCTGCAGCGTGACCTATATCTTCACGTGCTTCACGCTCCGGTGCAGTCCGTGTGTCGCGGTTTATATTTAAAAGATTGTTGCCTTACCGTCCGTAGTGTAATGCAACACGCGTTTAAAGGTAGACGTTTATTGCAGTACAGTACGGATGCAAGTTGTGTTCCATCCTTTAAAGCAGAATGCAACGTGCATCCGCAACAATAACGTAAAATTTGGCCGAATATGTCGTACGAACAAGAATTTGTATGCGCGTATAAAATACTCCGCAGCAAGGATTGGCACGGTCATGGTTGAAGTGACAGCGAAAAAAAAAGTGATTATTTCTCGTGATTTCGGTACAGCCAATATGTTGTATGTCCCATTAAAAAAAATAAAAAGATATTTTGTTTTTTATTTAGAGACACGCCCATCGAAGACTTCAACTAGACACCGACATTGGCCAACCACAATCGGTAATTCTTCACTGTCTGATTTGATTCAAAACCGTCGCGATTGAAAACCCACGCAGAGACGTGTCCATCTGCGTCTGTAACGACCTTTCAGGGTTGGCTCTACACAAAACGAACAGGCTTCACTTATTCTGGCGCCGGTTATTATCACAAATTGGTAACATAAACATTTTGCCCCCAGAGGTTACACTGCTTTAAGGGCACAACTGAGTGTTTACTTATATCCGCCAGCACCGTCACCTATTAATGTGGGACTTTGGTGCTCGTAAAATAATTGTTATTTGGGACCGAAGCAGAGAACAGTAAGAAACGCTAACATTTTACACCGCGTAATATTCATGTTACACCCAATCATGTTGAATCCGCATCAGCTCGCCTGCACACTTGTCATTTTATCGGCAGTCGTATTTGGAATATCTTGTTTTATGCATTAAAAGAAGCGTCTACTAATGGTGAAGAGATTACGCCGTATCGATCTGGAGTAGAAGCACCCAACGCTTGAAACGTTTAATATGAGAATATGTGGATAAATGTTAAGAATGAACCGTGGCAAATGGAAATCATTCCACTCATAAAATAAAATTTGCTTTAATGACATCATTAAAAGAACATTATACTTTAGTTAGAGGATGTTTCCATTAAAATATTACGCTGCAGTACAAACGTGATTCCGATACTTTTGAATGCTTAGGCTTCCAATAAATCTACACAGTTGCTGCAGAATTGCCTGAGAAGCATAGTCAAATTAGACAACGGCAATATTCTAGATACAGACTTTTCAATAGTAAACTTGAATTGTATTTATAGCGCCGAATGGTGAGCTTGACCAAATTTTGTTCTAATGCTTTTTTTTTATAAGCGTACAATTGAGATAGACTTTTTTTTTTTTTTGTAACATGTACCACCTCCTCTTTCGTACACATGTGCTAGGAGTACGAAAGCAGCTGTTACGACTAACCCCAGTTAATGATAAGTGTTTTTGTTTTTACTTACTGACAGTTTTTTTTTGGTACCAGAGATTTTAAGCTGCGGGCAGTTGGAATACGAACCAAACTTTTCGTCTCGTTTTCTGGATGTCAGTTTTGAGACTAACACGACCTCAGTTCCGCACGGACAACGAGGACCGCGAGGGGTGTTTCGAAAGTCGTAGATCACGTCATGTTTTGGTTTTATCACGCCGCGAGTAAGCAATGCTCGCCGGCGAGGAGAAAGTCGTCGTCGGAGTAGGTCATGACGTCCAGGAAGGAACTCGGAGACTTCCACGCGGTGACCTAGGTCATCAGGAACGCCGGGGCTCTCTCGTCCCGGAGGCGGAGTAGAAGGTTATTATTGCTTTTGACATTGCTCCACCCCTTTGCTCACCGCCGGACTACGTCACTCGGAGCTTGATCGTTGACAGAATTGTCACGTGACAGCCGTCACCATTGAGTGGATGGGAAGAGGAGAAGGGGGGGGGGGGGGTTGCGGCAAACGGCTTTGTATAAAACGCGTCGTTCACGGGGGCCTGAAACCACACTCAGTTCCTACTCGTTTCTACCTCTGCCAGATTCCCCCCGGGCAAACCACACCACACCAACCATGAACGCCGTGAGTACCATCGGCACGTCGCCCAATGTGACTGTTTGGATTGTGCGAAGGAGTAGCACGATCACTGCATTCGGTTGAGAGAGTGACCGCCATTCGCCGCAGGAGGATTAGTGCCGAAAACGAATCGACACTTCGCGAGGGGGCGCTCGAAGACCGAGGAATGTGACTTCAAATTCTGACTGAGGACGTCTAGCTTGCTGATTCTGTTGAGGGCTCCAGGATGCCAGAGCCAGCGTTAGGAAACAGAGAATGATTTATCAATCTTTGACTGAGAGCAGATTTTTAAGTCAAGATGAGTAGTCCGGACCCAGACGCAGACGCCTACAAGTTGCAGTCACACTGCACATACGTTATACAAAACACACGGTGTTTGCCACAGACACGGTGACAAAATTATCTACGGGCGAGCCTCGGGCATGTTTGAATCATGTTTGCATCATTCATGTGTATGTTGCCAACATGTCTGCAGGCAGTTTTCTGTATGATCAATGTGACAGGACAGTTATACAAGCAAGACACACGCCCCAGACCGTTTCTACAGATTGGCTTTTGTACGATGTATTGACAGAGTGAGCGTGGCTTAATGGTTGGCGATTTACTAAGTTCTAATCACTTTCTCAGGCTCAAATGTGCACGCAAGACCTTGGTCGCGGTTTTTCACGGTCATTGGGAAAAGTAGAAGAAAAGTTCCATAAGGCGTATGAAAAGCTACGTCTTTAGTACTTTACCGTCGGAGTAGTATCGATTCTTTAAAATTCAACATGGAGCACGGCAAAAGATACAAAATGTAATGTTTTATTTACGCCACGTTGAAACATACGACGCAGATTGTAGCGTTGTTTCAGGATGATAATACTTAGTCAAATCCTAACACACATTGTTATGTCTTAGAAAAATATGTTCCTCAGTTCTTATTGGCCAGAAAGGTGACTGACACTTTACCGTGAGCGTGATGTTATTTGTGACTTAAAAGCACTATCTCGTTCCTGTGTTGTTGTTTTTTCTTTAGCGCGCAAAGCCGAAGTTGTACTATCAACATGCCGTAGACCACGAGAGGGCCGCTCATGTACAGCTTTTCAACGAAGGTTTCTGAAGAACTGCGCTCGGGATTTCTAGCGTACAAGAATTAAGATCTAACATCGTTTTGGTTTTTATTTAATGCTGTGAGAAGTTTCCGTTGGTAAAAAGAGCCAAAGAAATTCTTGAAAAAAAAAAAAAAAAAAAAAAAAAACCGTGTTAGAGGTGAATTCTGGCGTATTTTTATGCCCTGAATCTTAATACCACGTTCGTTCTCCACGAAGATGTAACTATACGCGAGAAAACACGAAAAACCTCCGAGCAGTCATTACGTCATACTCGGGTCTTTTGGGGCGCCAACCGCGTGCCGCTCGCGTCGGCAGCGCCTCTAATTGAAAGCTTGCCAGGTATGTTGCCCCACATTGACACCAGTCGTGACGCCCTTTATTTTTTATTTTTTTTACTTGTTGTTTTTTTAATATCAAGAGTGCGCGTTTATAGCTTTGATAGGCGCTGCAGATGCACGAGAGCGGAGATTCCGAAAACTCCTGATATGACGTCACGCTCTGGGAAGGAGGGGCTTCAGCGGTACTTTGAAAATAATTTTTTGCAGCCTTCGTGCACCAAATTGAAAAATAATCTCGATACTCGTGATCCTGGAGGCCAAATGAAGACGATTGAAGTGTTTTTCCTCAATCACAGAACAGCTTCAGTTTCCCTTTAATGCCATTTGGTGGGCAAGAATGGCGACCTTTAAAGGGCTCATGAAAAGATATTGCGTTGGAATGTTCATGACTTTGCAGAGGTGTACCTGGGCTATATTCTGGCCCAAATATACTCGCACAGGCCGCCACTGATTCAGAAGCTTCTTTGTCGCGGTGAAATTGCGAGGACGAAAGGGGATTCTTTTTTTTCAGTCTTGCCTTTGCAAAACTTGATGACGTAATTGTAGGATCGAAACAGTCGAGCACGGCTCATGGATTGGACACGAGAAGTGCGAGAGCACTCGACTTCGGCTCTTAACAATCAATGCCTCGGTGGACACTCGACTAGTGGCTCACGTCCAACCTCTGCGGTGGTGAGAATAGCCGAACTCTGACAATACCTGGATCTCAGCATCCGTTTTCTACTTTGGCGACCCCAGCGCGGGGTTGTGATTAACGTTGGCGGCATAGGGTAGGCACCGGGCCACGTGGCCGCTTGTTCTGGCTCCGAGTTGAGGTGATGAACGGTGCTCATATTTCTCGAAGGTTTTTGGAGACTGCCATTGCCTAGAAAGAAAAACTAAGGCAAGTTTATTCAGTTATTAACGTTAGGGAGTGATTCCAAGTAGTATTAAAACAAGTAGTTTTCGTGTCCTTCTTTATCCCTCCGATGTCTCAGGTTTAGTTGCGTTTGCAACCACTAGCTTGCCTGTACTTTTACTCTTCTCTTAGTATCTTCTGCGGTACTAACCTCGCAATGCGACCATTCCTCAGCTTGTTACCCCCCCCCCCCCCCCCCCCCCCCCACACACACACACACACACACATTCACAAAAATACTTTTTTGTTTTGAATATGGCAACCATGAGGGTTGCATTTCTGACAACCTCCCCCTTTTTCCTGCAAAGAAGGAAGACAAGGACCATTTGTTTATGGGCTTGGCAAAGTCTGTCGTTACTTGTCCCGTATATGACCCCTCAATGATCCGCACCTGCAACCGGAGCACTGCGCAAAACCTTAAAGCCCCTTCATGTTTCAAAAGTAGCGCAAGGCGCGTCGATGCACGAGGCATGTGAAACGTACAGCCCTTGTGAATATCATGGCGGCACAGCGTAGCACTGAGCTACATTTCAGACGCCATAATCTTCCCAGAAGTGGCGCGCGGCACGTGCCTCGAGCATTTCTACAACAATGAATGGCACCACGTTTCCCAGGATAGAGGGGTTTTACAAGGCCTACCACTCTAGCGACACAGCACATGACAGTTTCTCCTCACCAAGCTCGCCAGGAAGCAAGACGCGGCCCTAATATGCTATACTTCGTCTCACCCTAGTATGGACTATTGTTAGCCGCGCATGCTAAAAGCGCGAGCTAATTACTTTGGATTACGCCTCGGCGGCTGCACGAGCGTTCGTGCAGCTAGTGCTTTACTGAAGCCAGTCAAGGCTAGCCGCTCGCGCTCGCAAAGCTTTCGCAGCTAGCCCCTGCTAAGGTGAGACGAAGTATAGCGGTGCACGCACGATCTCATATAATACAAAAGCAAGATAGATAAAAGTTCTGGTAGAACTGTGGACGAAATGTGAGCTTGCACCTGCCTTTAGAACGTGTTCTTTTTGGACAAATTCTCGTGCAGACAAAGACTGTAATTGGGGGACAGGCCGCCGCCATGTCTCTGATCGCGCGGACGAGTCCTTGCAAATGCAAGCTTGCCAAAGCTACGCTCACGCACACGCTTCCCGCGCTTGCACACATGGGGCACCAGTCGTGACGCCATGCTTGCAATATTTGACCAAGTCCTCAGCCCAGCGTGCGATCTCCTCAACCCAGCACGCGCGTGTTTGTCGCTTCGGGAAAGCGAGAAAATCACGCGCCATACGCACGAGCACTGATAATGAAACCGACCAGGAGCCTTTTTCCTTGCAAGCATGGCGCCCGACTTGTGCCCCATGAGTGCAAGCACGTGCAGCTTGCGCGTGAACATAGCTTTGGCAAGCTTGAAAGTGTACGGGCTTGTCCGCACAAGCATTAAACATGCACACACAGACACACACACACACACAAACAGGTATAGGAGGTATTCACTGGGCGCCATATTTGAGGGCGATGTTTAGAGCGCATGCTCAGAACGAGCTCACGTTAATAGCCTGCTAAGACCGGCAACCTTGATGGTGCTAAATGCACGCTCCAAAAGGACTGCGGAAGCTCCCCGTCAGCACGCGCTCAGCAGCAGCGCACACGGATATGGCCGCCAGTGAATACTCCCTATATTCTTACCTGTCATGTATACGACACCCCAAAACTTCAGATGGACGTACAGCGCACTGGCGTCGAATCGACGCGACCAACTTTCACGAGCGGCTTGATAGCCGAGTTGTACAACTTGTTAAAATAGCTAAAGTAAGCGGGACTGACTGCAAACAAAGTAATCGGTGTTTTCTTGGCTCTTCTGCAAAACCTGTGTTTTTTTTTGTAGTCTTTGTTACGTACTTTAGCTCTTTAATATGTTACATGGCGCCGTCATCCAACCACTCGTAAAAATTGGGGCCGTCAGTTTGACGTCGGTGCGCTCTACGTCGAACTGAAATTTTTGGGTGTCGTATATGTGACAACGGGTGTACGGGTTAAACCTTTTCTTTTTAGTGTGTTGCGGCGGCCAATGGCCTTGCTTTCAATCGTCGATAGCACGCATTAGCCTCTGATTCAGCTACACAGAACTTGTAAGATGAATTACTGGCAACGGTTTGCCCAGGACTGACAATTTGGAAGGGGGGTTACAAATTTCTGGGAGGGACTCCGAGGGGGATATTGTCCGATATGCAAAATACGCATCCAAACGAAGTACAGGACCACAGGGTCGTGTACGTCGTGTAGGAAACTCTGGAGAGATGTTCGATGGAGGATATAAATCACTGAGTCCCGCTTCGTCCATGCCGAAATTGCTTCGAAGTGACACGAGCGCTTTTCATCTCATCCCATCGACCATCCCGACTCATCGACCGCTCAATCATCGTTGGTCAAACCGCTTTCACACTGCCCATACATCATGCAAAAGACATGGCGTCTGCTGCACACACGAAGAGCTCATAGAGGAAAGAAACACGCCTCAAACAGTGTCACTCTTAACAGTGCGACCTCGGCTTTAATTTCCGTCTCGCAGGTGACCGCCCTCGTCGTCCTCGCCCTCGCCTGCACGGCCCACGCCGGCGTCGTGGCCGCCCCGGCCTACGGCTACGCGGCCGGCCCCGTGCTGGCCCACGGCTACGCCGGGCCCCTCGTGGCCCCCGTGGCCACCTCGTACGCCACCAAGACGGTCCACTCTGTGGCCCCCGTGCTGGCCGCGGCTCCCGCCAAGCTCATCGCTCCCGCGTACGCGTACGCCCCCGCCGTCAAAGCCGTGGCACCGGTCGCGTACGCCGCCCCCGTGGCGTACGCCGCACCCGTCGTGAAGGCCGTCGCTCCGGCGTACGGGCTCGGCTACGGTCTCGGCTACGGCTACGGACACGGGCTCGGCTACGGCGTTGGCCCCGCTCTGGCCTACGGACACGGACTGGCCTACGCGGCTCCCGCTGCCAAGCTTGTTGGACCCGCGTACGCTGCCCCAGCCTACGGCTACAAGCACTACTGTGAGTGGGCTGGTGCGGGCAAAACGGGCCCTTTTTACACCTTTCGTCTGTAGTCAGGCTAAGAAACGCTGGGCGTGGCGAGTCCGAAGCATCTCATTATCGCCCCGCAGCCTATGAGATTGCAGCACTTGTCAATACGGGCGCCCAAGAACGAATCACAAAGCAGGAAGAGCGAGCGTCATGCGGTCCGCAAGTTTGTCTGCTTCTTGCACAGGGGTTGCAATGATGTCAGAACGTTAGTTCTTATTGGCAGATCGAAAAAAGATAGTGGGTAGACCTCGAGGCATTTGACATTAAGGTCTACGCACTCTCCTTTCAATCAAAGCCAATCAGAACCCGGCGTCGTTCTGACGTCACCACAACTCCTGCGCAAGAAGCAGGTGACTTTCTCTCCGTTTAAGCCAACGTTATTAGATTAGCTCAGTTACGGACCTGCTCATAGACGCTGCATGCACGAGCAGTACCCCCCTCACTCACCACGACTCGCCTCCCATCGTTCGACGCGCCAGACGGGTGCTTTGGTAACTGCAGTGTATTCTATGGGATACATACGTTTCGAAGCGCAGCGTCTAGATGGCGCTCCACCGTACTCTATGGAAAACACAGTTTGTAAAGAGAAATCTAGATGGCGCTTCGAACGACGAGAGGCGGAATGAAGTGAGTGAGGGGGGGGGGGGGGGGGGGGGGGATACCCCCTTCCGCGGGAGTTCCACAACGGAGGTATCTAGTAACGTTGGTATAAGCCGCGTACTGCGTTTGTGGAGCTCTCAGTGGCTGTAGTCGGTGGCAGTTAAAAGAGGACCGCTTGCGGCAAACTGCCGACTTCGTTTATTGCTTTCTGATTGGTTCCTGGTTGTTCTTATTTAGGGGTGCTGCGATTTTATAGGGTGCCCGGTGATAACGATAAGAGGCTCGAGTCTTGGCTCTCCCTGCCTTTCTTGAGCAGCTATAGTGGCTCTAGGGAACAACAAGCACCGACGATGAGCATCCTCACGTAACGAGGAAGCCTACTGGTTGAGGTCTACGATGACGTCACTTCATTTGTGGCAAGCACTGCGTAGTTGTGGCTTTAAACCGACCATGAGTCGTTGAAGTGCCTTAACTTCCTGCCACAAGTTTGCACTGAGTCCCCGTGCTTCATGTTCAGCTCTTTGTTTGGAATTTGAGTGAAGAAGCGACAGAGAGGCGGTCAGCGCTTGTCTGATACTCTTCTTATCTGTTAGAACTATTAAGCATATAAAAAATTGGAAAGTAAAAGGCTGAAAGTTATTAACCTCCGTTTATTCCATGTTAAGGTGCGAGGATTGACATAGAGATAACTAAGACTACTTCGAGCGGGTATAAAAAAAATTCAAGAGTACTGAAAGAATGCGAATCGCATTGTAACCATAGCTAAACAAAATTTCACAGCGTTTTGTCAGATAAGTTTGAGGTAATTTCCTAGAGGCGTGACGAAATTCCCCCTGCTTTTGAGTATAGTAGCTCTCAGCTAGTTCTTTGGTTTTGAAAGTGAGAGTTTTAAAGATTGATCAGCACAGTTGTTGGTTTTTTTAGGTGAGAGTTGGTATGAAATTTTTACAAAAATTATGAATCAATGTTTAATAAGGAACTTAACCATTATAAAGAACGAAGATAAGGCGACAAAATTCGGGCTGTCAGGTTCATCCTAGTTTTCGTGGAATTACGAGCTGGCATTTTGAGTATATTTCTTGTAATGCGCTGGTTTTAGTCAGAAGAGGTCTGTTCACAAGCGTGTACATTTAAACGAGGGCTTAGAGTGAGGATGCCCATTCGAAAAAATTCGATGCACAATGCTCGATTTTTGTTGGGTGTGCGAGCTGAGCTAGTTCTGTTGGATAACAATACCGTTCATTTTGGAGAGCAGCACGAAACGGTTGATATATAAAAATGGTCACGGCAAACAACTGTAGATCTTGAACTGACGAAGTGCTAGGCTACAGCTTACCTGACTGATTGTTCGCACGCAGTTAATTAACCGTTTAGTACTGAAGCTTCGTTTTAACAGTTGTGATGCGAACTCGCGAAACGGGAATTTTCTTCAACGATGAATTTCAATCTCGAATAATTTTTTTGTTGAAGGTGTGAGGCTGTCGTTGTCGACTAAGTAAATGATCGCGCAGCAAAATGACAGCAAAATATATATTTTATTGCTGGCGATATAATCCCCAAAATTATCATAGGAAGTTGCTCGGAGCGTGAAGTTGATGCCGTTATCGAAGTGCCATATTGCATGGACAGACAATGATACGCGAATGCTTCACAATTCTTTTTTGCTTTTCTTCATTTTCAGAAATGAACACGGAAGTTTTCAAGAGAAGTAGTCGCTCCAGGGAGATCCACTTCTCGACAACACGGTTGTGCACGTTTCCCCTTCCCCCCGAAAAAAAGATGAAACTCCTCAATATTTTTTTGTGATAAGAGGTTGTATAGAAAACGTAGATAAAAAAAGCTGGTGTCAAATAAACGTTTTTCTTTTTTTTTAATTTTTATAACAAAAGAAGCGCGCCACTTCGTTTGTTTTTTCATTACATGCACTAATGCTATATCTATGTTTGCCCACATTTTACCGCACCGGTGCGAAATTACCAACGCAAGTTCAGAAGTGTACAGATAAATTGATGCTGCAACTATTTCACCAACAATTAATTCGTAGTTCGTGGATGTTTTAACATGACATAAATCCGCAATTTTACTGCCACGCTTTCGAAAACGCCCGCATGCATATGCTCTACGACGCACTCACTATACTAACAATTCACACTCCTGTAATGAGTTGATCAGGACATGAGATATATAAGATGTTTCTACAAATAATTTCAAATATCTCCACAAATAGGGTGATGAGAAGAAAAAGAAACACTTTTCCAGAATAAGCTGGCAAGCATGGAAAAATACAGCCAATAAAAAAAGATACACACATACTAGTTGACGAAGTAATTAACAATACTAATTAACTAGTTGTGTATATAAATATCTGGTTTCAATTAAAATCTTGCTTAGCGTAACCAAAAACACTTATATCAATACATTTTAGGAAGATTTGAAGCACGGGGGTAGCCACGGTGGTGCGCTAAAGTTCCCACTCGCGTGCAGCAGGCAGAATGCTGTCGATGCAAAAACTCGGATGATTTCCTTATCATTCGCGTTTCGAAAGCATATGACGCCGTCGTCTGCTTACTGCACCTATCGGGAGATGGCGCCACAAGCACAACCCTCGGGTAATTTGACCGTCTGCGTTCAAACAAGGAAGGGAGCTGCACATTGAAATTTGATCAGGTAAAATGCACCACTAAATTACACCTTTGTTGAAAGTTTGAGCTCATTACGGGCAAACGCCAATTTTTCTGGCTGACCTTAAAATGAGTCTATAAAAAGTTTTAGGCAAGACATTTTGTAAACACGATGTTTAAAACCTGCAAAAAAAAAAAAATGAACAGAAGCACACATATGATCGAGAGATACTAAATAAATCAAGGTTCGGTTTTTGCTCTTCCTAAACAAGGTCAGGACACTGTGTTTACTTGTACTAAAACATAGTGCATGATCTCCGGTTTCATTTTAACGCATAGAGAAATGAAGTGGAGTAGCACTTGCATATGATGTAATTATGAGCACATGATGTAATTATGAAGCCGAAGCAAACAAATTTCAAAACTATTCTACAGCATAACCTGCACTTTGACTGTAAAAAATGCAAAAAGTGAGTTCACCGAATGACTTCACGGTGGCAGCCAATGGACATTTGTGCCAAGACGACCCAACTTCCCAGCAAGTTCGAGGACGAGGTTTAGATGACAGTTTATTAGCGCAGCTTCACGATATGTACACACCAAGATGAATTAGTTTATACTTTAAGCGCGCTGTTTTACTGTTTTTGGCACTCCAACGAATGATGCTTTCATGGCTGTTGGTCCCGGCGAGAGCGCTCTCGGCTTTGGTCAGCTCCTCCGCGTCTCCCGTGGAGGGCGTGCGTAGACGATGTCCTCTCCTGTTTTCTGTCTCCTTTTGCCGAGGTCCACATCATGCGACATCGCATGGGGAGCTCATGCTGATAACACGTATCATAAATAGAGTTTATCAACTGGCTCCTTGGTCAACCTTGCTGTAAATGAGAAAAAGAATAAAGAATGGTCAAAACGATTGAAGTGGCTGAGTGAGAGGAGTTGAAAGCAACATGGCGTTCATATACCGACATCCTAAACTCCTGGACAGGGGAACGAAAGAGCCTTCGACTAGGCTCAAACTGGCGATGATGAATACACGCAAAGCCTGATTTGGTGTTGTGGTGCCTTAAAAGTAGTGTTCTCTAGTGTAATTATTGCAATAAATTGACGACACGAGAAAACAACAACAACAACAACAACAACAATATAGCAGTTACTGTGGTGCCCATGCACAGCTAGCAGTTGTGAGCGAGCTTACCCAAGGGAGCGCAGTGCTTTATTCTCCAACGCAGACTTTGCACGGGTTTACCGTAACCTGTTTCGGCTGCGTCACTTCGCCGACACTTAGGACAGCAATGAGGGTCCTACTTCTGAGCAAGCTTTGCGAAACTCTACATTTAAAATAGCTTAAAATTTTACCGGCGATACGTCCTGCGTCATGTAGAAGTCGACAGCCGAGATTTTGACAAAATCATTTGAACTTAGCTTTGCTTTTGTGTGTTTAGGCGCCTGATCTGAAACACATCCAAAGGATATTGTACAATAGCGACATTCACGTGTCTCTGCCATTATACATGAGTGACTCTTAAATAGTCCAATCAGACGCAAGCAATCTACACTCGTGTTCCCATCAACAACCGTAGTAAAACAAAAAAACAAAACAAAAACAATCAGGCTTTTTGAGGAATATTTTCTTGCGTGTTGAATTAAGATACTCTAGGCACATCCAAGATTAGCTTTATGTCATTCTATCAAAATTTTACCTTTCAAAAGGTAAAAAAGAAAAAAAAGTTAATTTTTTTGACAACAAAATCTTGGAAGAACTGCTCTGCGCACCGCACGAATAATGGGAAAAACTTCATTTGTTCTTGATGTGCCGACGAGTATAGAACAGATCATGATCCTTAACGGAACAATCGCTGTTGTCTCCCGTGAACATTCCTAATAGATCAGATCATGGTCCTTGACGGACCAAAGCGCTGACCTCCCCCGCGAACATCCTAAACCTTTCCCATTCGTTTTGATTTCGTTATCTTCTTGTCCCGACTCACGTAAGGCATTGCGACGAGCCTGGTCTGGCCACCGTAGGCGTATGCGGGTCCCGCAGCCGCCGCGCCGTGTCCCGCAGCCGGCAGGGCGTACGTCTGCAGGCCCTGCAGTCCGAGGGAGTGCACGGCCCTAGAGGCGCCGTAAACTCCTTGGGCTGCGCCGGTCGCATAAGCGGGGCTCGCTGCCACGAGCCTTGCCTGACCTGCCCCGTACGCGTACTGCGGGGCCGCCTGCAGTCTCGCTGCACCGTGGGCGTAGGCTGGGGCTACCAGACCGGCGACTCCCGTCTGGTGCACCAGTTGGGGAGTCATCAGGTACTGGTTGCCGCCGTAGTTCAGGATCGGGGGCAGCGTCCTCGCTGGTTTGACGGAAAGAAAGAAAAGAAGTCAGAGGTAAGGATGTATTGAGAGAGTTAAGGTGGGTTATCGCACTGTTAATTCAAATTAGAAAAAAAGCAAAAAAAGCAACAAAAAAACAACAACAACAACAAAAAAAAAAACACGGCGTTTGTTGCAGACACAATGACCGAAGCATCTGCGAACACGCTTGAGGAAGGCTTCAGACATATGTGTATGCTTTGAACTTTCTGCAGACAGTTTTTGCTCGACCAGTATGGTCACACAAGGAGCCACTCAGACAGCTTTTGAGGACTGTCTGTGATGTATTAGAAGTGTGATCGTGGTTTAATTACACCATTAATGGACAGCCTGCCAAAACTGTCTGAATATGAAATCAACCTAACATTAGGTGAATCTTAACATGAATCTAATTAGGGTTTATGAATAAAACGAACAAACAAAAGGCCTGTTCTCCGTTGAAACTGCATAAGGAGCGATACTATATATGAAACTTGATTTCAGTTCTCCGTACAGGCACGATGGTCCGCCGCAGTGGATAGCCAACCTTCAAGGATGCACGCGCGCGCTAGATACGACTGAGGGTGGGACTGTATCTTTGGCTTTCGAACGTAATGTGCGCTGCGGAAAAAAGCGGAACTCTGGTTAGTTTTACACTTATTTGGTGCAGAGAAACTACTTTTATGGGGGAAGGAGCACGCCGACGGCGTCGCCTCTGTCGCCTATTGTTCATAGAGAGCCTAGATTGTAGAGGGGTTCCAAACGCAAACCGTGGGGAACGTTTGCCATTTCATGGCGGACGCCTCCATCGGAGATTGGTCGCAAATGCGCGTGCGCTGCGTTGTTGCGTGGCTAGGAAGAAAGCAGTCGGAAAGGGGGAGACGCTCGAGGATGACCAACGCATTCGTCACCCGTAGAACGTGTTGCAAACGCGGCCCATAAACCACCTGATTCCGATCGAGCAGTTCTTTGTAATACAGGCTCTCTGATTGTTCGCTGCCACCTTGCGGTTGTCGCCGCCTACTCGTCGGGAAGAGATTGTGACAAATCGCGTGGGCCTGCCCTTCAATATTACGACGGGATTTAAGGTTCTTACAAATTCCGCAAGCTTTTTCTGTGGCGCAAAACTTGAGCGAACGTAATCTGAGTGCAGCGGCTGAAAAAGGACCAACCGGTGATAATGATAAGTGTGCCGTTAGGGGCGCCCTGGTCGGGGCTTGAGGTATATAATAATCTTCATTTGGACTCCTTGAGTCTCAGGTGGAGGGGCAAAAGGTAAACAGATTTACCTGACGAGGCCCCACCACCCTGTACATTGCTCAGCAGAGAATCAGAACAGACTAGAAATGAACACAAGTAAAAACGACAATAAATCTTGTCAAAAAATGTGTCACTGTGCGAAACGAAAAACGAAACAACCCTTCTGCAGAAAAATGAATTATTAAAGTACAAACTGGCAGGGGAGCAATGAGCTTTCAAGCGAATTAACACAAATAACGGTGATCAGAGTCAATTATACGCTGTTCAACCCAGTGCATAACCAAAACGCAATTTCCTATTGCAAAATATAACGTTTCATGTTACCTTTGAAAGCAATAAGGGAAGTAGCATTCCTCATTAATTTAAAAACACTTGGATGATCGTTCAAAAGCTGTGATATTTTATACGCTAGAGCTTGGGAGCCATAATTCGTCCGTATTTCGGGCTTTGTGTATATTTCATTTCTTAAATTATATTGTGTTGTTTTAGGGTGGTAGATGTCACAAAATTAATTTTGGTCACTGCTGTACTTGCGGTATATTATCATCGCTAGCTTTAAAAGAAAGAGCTGATGGATATTTAAAATTCTATATTTGACAAAATATGAGGCTGAATGATCGGTATAGTGAAGGTTTTCGATGCAACAAACAGCTATTTTTTTGTAGGCTGAA